AGGGGTTAAAAAGCAAGGTGCTGCCTGATTACAGGGATTTTATCATCAGGGGCGATAATAAGAGTTTCAGTCYTGTTTGCATTTAACTGCAGGTAGTTGTTGTTCAGCCATGTTTTGACTTCTGACAGACAGTTACTGAGTTCAGACAGTTTGAAGAACTCAGAGGGTCGAAAGGAACAGTACAACTGTATGTCATCAGCATACAGATGGTAGGACACATTACTGTAAGTGATAGTTTCTTTTAGAGAGAAATAACTCCATGGATCATTTCTGGAAGTCTTTGTTTTATTACAGACATGTGGAACATGTGGGAGCTTAAAAAAGCCATAGCCCTGCAGCTGTTTTCAGCTCAGTCTGAAGGCCCTGTCCTTTCATACCATTTTACACAACTTGAACCAGCTTGGGAAAATTTTGTCCAACACTGAAGATGTCGAAAATGAAATAATAAAAAAGAAATTAAAAATCTACAGGAAGCCACCTTTGTATACATGCTGTGATGGTACCAAATAAATATAAAAACTATACGAACAATTCAGTCACAACAAATTTTTCAAGTTGGTATAAGTTGTCTCAAATGATGTCGAGTGAAGGACCTTAATATTTTGTTAAAACAAGATTTATTTAGCAACTATTCTTTGTATGATTTTGTATCAGATTGTAAATATGTCCAATAATAAAGTCAGACATTTGCCTAAATCAAGTTAAAACTATTCTTTTTTTACCATCTATTTGTGACTGCAGATTTGTCCTTCAGACCAAGGACAGCAGCACCTCAAGGTGTCAAAAAACCCCACCTGTTTGCCATCCTGTCCAGCTGCCTATATGACCCCACAGAAGTGTCCTGCTGTGTTTGTGTCCACCAGGGTCGTCCACATGTCCACGGAGTTCACCTGTCATTTGAGAAGTTTGTATGCCTTCCCTATTCCATTATTAATTATTGAGATGAGCATCCACAGCAGATCTGGGCTGACTCACTGTGACTTTAAGTGTGTGTGTGTGTGTCTGCAGCGTGAGTCACTCTGCTTTTAGACAGATGAGGACAGCCGTCTCACTGAGGGCAACAGAGGTTTTTATACAAGAAAAATAGCCACTTAGATTAGATCACGTAATAAAATAACATTCCTTCTTCTTCTTCGTCTCATTCCCCCTCTTGCTTGTTCTCTTTTACCCCCCCACCCCCCACACTTATTTTTTCCTATGACGCAGACACACAGATCCTAACTCAATCACCTACAAATGGAGCTATCTTCACACCCTCAGGCAGGGACACACACGCACGCACACACACCATCTTTACCACATAAACAGACAGGGGAACGCGCACTTACAGATTTTTATAGAAAACCTCATCAGTTCTCCTTGTGATGATTGGCTAAAAGCTCAGGAGAAACGTTTTTGTTTTGTTTTGTTTTGTTTTATATGATGCAATCCAGCTCTTCTCTCCATTTGCTGACTGAGCAATATAAACCTGATATCTGTGTCCATTTGTCCCCCCCCCCCCCCGTCTTTAACACGGTCAAAGCAGGACAGGGTTTTTTATCCTCTCTGTGTGGTTGTTAAGTGTCCATCCGTGGTTCAGTTGTGGTGCTTCACATTTCAATTATGACCTCCTGGACAAAGTGGACTAAAAGCTGGGGTCAAAAAAAAAAGCATTTATAGTTTTTTTTCTTTTTTCAAAAAGAGAAAGTAAAGCCCTAAATTTGATTAAATCTCATGATAGAAACTGCAGTCAGGCCATTTTTAAACTTGAAGAACTGTAATAAATAGAAGAATTGGTTTAAATAAGTTTGATGAGCCATTTTTGATGTGCAGGATGAAATGTTGCCTTTTTATCCATCCATCCATCCATCCATCCATCCATCCATCCATCCATTTTCTTCCGCCTATCTGGGGTCGGGTCGTGGGGGCAGCAGCTTCAGAAGGGAGGTCCAGACCTCCCTCTCCCCAGCCACTTCTTCCAGCTCCTCCGGGGGAACTCCAAGGCGTTCCCAGGCCAGCCGAGAGACATAGTCCCTCCAGCGTGCCCTGGGTCTTCCTCGGGGCCTCCTCCCGGAACACCTCACCAGGGAGGCGTCCAGGAGACATCCTTACCAGATGCCCGAGCCACCTCAACTGGCTCCTCTCGAGGTGGAGGAGCAGCGGCTCTACTCTGAGTCCCTCCCGGATGACCGAGCTTCTCACCCTATCTCTAAGGGAGAGCCCAGCCACCCTGCGGAGGAAACCCATGTTTCCTTTTTATGTCTCTGTAAATTCAAGAAAGAACGAGACGAAAGTATGCAATTTATAGTTTTGTACACATTTGTCCAAACCTAGACAAAAAAAAGCGTACATTTTAATGCCCACCACTTCAGCATTTTAGACACAAATTCTGTAAGTAAAACATAACAATAAAACCTGAAATACACACACTGTGATACACATATCCTCATCACAATTACCTCCTATTCTAGAATCCAAGCTTGAGTTAAACAGGTTTCTGTACACAACAGATGGATCTTTGTGGTGCAAAACAAAAGAAGCAGGAACTGCCACAAGAAGCTGTGGTGGCATCACACTGCTGAGATAACCATATGTTTGATCCGAACAGATGATGTGGACTGAAAATGTGGCAGCGCACATTTCTGTGGAAGCTAATACCAGTGTGTGTAATTACTGATAGCCCCGCGATCGTCCTCTCTCAGGATAAACCTGATTAGCATTGAATTGGCTGTAAGCTGCCATGATCCGCCGTAAGGAGAGAGGGAGGGAGCGTGGAGCAGAGAGAGAGTGAGAGAGAGAGAGAGAGAGAGAGAGAGAGAGAGAGAGAGAGAGAGNAGAGAGAGAGAGAGAGAGAGAGGAGAAAAAGAACAGAGGTGAGGGGGAAACAATAGAAAAACAAAGGCAGAGTGCACAACTTTATGCAAGGTCAGTGTCATTCACATAGCTTCAGTATTTATAGTCTCTGTGCTGTGTTAACATAGAAAAGACAAAAGCTCAAAGAAACCTTGGAAATGTTGCCTAGTGTACCACACTGAATGAAATCTTGAAAACACCTGATTTTAGATTCTGAACTTTTGTTTTTAAATGGGACCAAAAAAAGTGTAACACTTTCCCAGTCAGAAGAATAGACCCCAAAATTCAGCAATTCACATTCAGAATGCTATTTATCAACTAATGTACACAATCTGAGTGGCTTGGTTAAAACTGTTGCCTCACATCAACAAGGGTCCAGGTTCCAAACCCAGCTGTGAGCTTTCTGTGTAGAGTTTATATGTTCTCCATGCATGTCTGGGTTTTCTCTGAGTCCTCCGGTTTCCTCCCAAGAAGAACATGGAGGTTAGGGTATTTAGTAACTCTAAATTGTTTCTGCAGGGGTGAGGTGTTAGCGTGTGAATGGTTGTTTGTCTCGTTCATCTGTATGTGGTCCGGTGGTGGACTTGAAACTTGTGGGTGTACCCCATCTCTTGCACGGTGACTGCTGGAGGCAGGCAAAAGCTCTCTGTGACCCTGTGGGGAAAAGCAGTCAATGAAAATGGATGGATGGAGTTCACTTTGAAGATGTTATCCAACCCTAATAATCCATTGCATAATCATCCATCCACCCGTTGTTATGTGCTTCAGGCACATTTTATTTTATTTTGGCTTTTTTCTAGAGTGTTTTTGTTTATAGTTGTTGTTTTCTCATTTAGGTGTTTTTAGAGGAAGTGCTGTATATTTAGAATTGGTCACGTTTTATAGTTAAAACTTATATTATGTAAAAGTTCTGATTGGTAAGCTGCCCTGCCCGCCTATAAATAGGGCTGGTCTGTAGCACTTTTTATTTTTTATTTTTGGCTTCTACTTGGTGCTGACTGCACTCAACTGGTTGCAGGTGAGCCCTCTGCCTCAGCCTTCTTCAGCCTGCCATGAGTTTTTGACTTTTTTTTAGCCTTACTTTTTTGTAGCTTTGGCCTGGTGGGACCAGTTGTTTTTTTCATGAGTATGTTTTTCTTATCATTTTATGCTGGATTTTTTTGTTAGTTTAGTTTGGTGTGGTTGTGTCTTCGACGGCCCTGTGTAGGGTTGGCCCACTGCCACACCTTTTAGTTTTGTTTTTCTGGCTCACCAGGTCCATCTTTTGTTTGAACGTTGAGTTTTGTTTTTTTGGTTAGTAATTTCTTTTGGAACCCAATGGTCCTTAATTTTTCCCTCCCTCTTTTTTGCAGGAAAGTTTTTTTTTCTCTCCTCAGCTAGGGTTTTTTTTTTTTGGAGGACCAGGCAGAATAATTAATAAAAAGAGTTTTGTTCTTGAATTCTGTCTTCGTGTCCTCCTTAAATGTGTTATGACCCCTCCTGTGTTTCAATGGGCCGTATCACCATCCATATCTGCTGTCAGAACCAGTTCAGGAGGGAAACCCAGAAATCCAATGGTCCACCCCCTTATATATATGTACACTGCTCAAAAAAATAAAGGGAACACTTAAACAACGCATGCTAAGTCCAAGTAAATCAAACTTTTGTGAAGCACTTTCAACTCTGTACAGAACAAAGTACTCAATGCGAATATTTCATTGATTAAGATCGGGAGTTAGCGTGCAATGTTTAAGTGTTCCCTTTATTTTTTGAGCAGCGTATTTGGTAATGCTTTCTTTTACAGTACTTTTATTGCCATGCAATTACAAGGTAATAAAAATGTAATTAAAATGTAATTACTACCTTATTACGTGGTAATTAGGGTATAAAAGAAAAAAAAACTACTGTAAGTAAAACTACATTTATTGGGTAACTACAATCAAATTAATATTCAATAGTGACTCAACACTATATTTATAACCAAAAGAATGCAACTACATTTTGGGGTTAGTGGTTAATTGCAATAAAATATAACTTTAAAACTGTCCAAATTATCTACTACTTATTTAGGTGTTACATAGTGAATTGTAGTACATTACCAAGTGCTACATTACTGCAGACAATTACGTAGTAAAATTGTACCCTAATTACCATGTAATTATGTGGTAATACATTTAATTACTTTTTTATTAGCTTTTAATTACATGGTAATAAGGGTACCATAAAAGAAAGCGTTACCATATTTTCTCAGGTCAGATAGGATATATAGTAGAGAGCTCTGGGCCTGCCAGTTATTCTCCTCCCAGTAGGTTTTGCCTGGAAAACATCCATATGAAGGAGGAGTGGTGGCATCCTCTTCAGACGCTTCAACCACCTCAGATGAGTTCCCATCACAGAATCACAGCGTTGTGAAGGAGCTTGAGTATTCCTTGGATCTTAGATACCGTGTTGGTTGGGGTGTCAGCCCTTGCTCCTGGGACTCAGCTGGGCCGAACCCAAAAACGCTACAGGAACCCACCTCCTGCCGGTAGAAGACTCAAAGTCAGGTGACTGGCAGGAGGTAGCAGGAGGCGTGCTGATGCCTAGCTTTAAAAACTTACAACAAAACACGAAAATGATTGATATTACTGCACATCAACCCAGTATATCAACAAATGATCACAAACAATGCCATCTAAAATAATACTATACAACATGAAGTTTCTTTCTTTAGGAGATAGAAATTTGAACCTTTAATTTAGTCCTAAAATCTAATCTGAATTGAAAAAGCTCCGGTGCCCCTGAGGGAAGGGGGGAAAAGAGAGTATTGAAGAGAGAGAGAGAGAGAGAGATGGAAGAAGGGGGATCAAATGAGAGAGAAAATTAAGTAAAATGACAGACAGAGAAGAGTAACACCAGGTTAAACTGGATGGGGAGAGGAGTTTGAAGGAGACAGAGTGAATAAAATAAATGTAATTTCCATGATCAGTTTAACTCAGAGACCATTAGCAACCCCCTCTGACGTCCCTGGGTGCATCTGTGTGTGAACGCACGGGGAGACACACAAGAACTCGCACGTATGATGTGATACGGTAGATGCTGGTGATATGAACCTCATGGGGTTCTCACGTAGAAGAGAAAAATCAATGTACTCATGACAATAACATTACCTCCCTCTGAGGACGCATGCTTCGTTTCAAATCAGTGTGAATGTTCTTCACGCCTCTGATCTCTGCAGCGAACAACTGAAGACACCTAAAAGTGGAGGAGGGAAAAAAAAGTTTCCATGTCATTTGCTGAGATGCTAAATGGGCCCCACTTAAACGGTCAAAGGCCATAAATGCATTAACAGCCCTCTTTGCATTAACTTCTTGTGCTAACAGAGCAGCAATGATGAGAGTGGGTTTACTGATGATGATAAGCCCACAGCTTCTGCTGCTCTTTGCTGTCATAAAAAAGCAGAAACACAACTCTCTGGGAGTCAATATAGAAATGCATGCATACATGGACTTGAGTATTTTGAGACTTTTAGTAAGGTCTTCAACAAGACAAAAAACAGTTTTCACATAAAAGACACCACAAAATGATTTTAAATGCCTTGTTTAATGCTGAGGCATTTACTTCTCATGCACTTCCCTTTAACTTTGACAAGATGCCTGCCTAAATGTCACTTAGCCATATTTGACCTTTCAGAACAGAACAACAAAACTAACGTAGATAAGTTGATTCCCTTGTGCACTCTGCATCTAAATCCAGCAGTTTCAATCTTCCTTGTCTTCTCTGGAGCAATTCAAGTTTGACAAATTATGAGTTATGCAAAAACTATGAAACTCTTAGGGATAGGTCCTGAGTATAAAAAAAAACAAACAAAGAAATGGTATGAGTGTTTTAGTCAGCCCCTGTGACTCTGGGGAACAGCAAACAAAACAAGTGTCAGGTACATTTTACACAATGTGTTTCCTGTTCTGCTGACTCTGCTTGGGCTCCATCTCAGTTTTCTACAGATTTTTACAGAGGACCTTTTGCATTCTTCCCTGCAGGGAAAACATGGACGACGCTAATTCTGTTAAGCTGTAAGTACTTAACGGAGCTGCTTGCAGCCTCATATGACATTCAAAACATGCAATGCATCATTAAAACAATTAGACACCGTTGATCGAGGACTGCTGTGACAAGGAAAGTTAGTGTTGGAGGATAGCTCAGTGGTTGGCGCTGTTGTAATTCTGAAGCTGTGGGTTTAAGCCCAGGTTGTGTCAGGAAGGGCATCCAGCATGAACAATTCTGTTAAAAAATAAGCAATGTTCTTTACCCTTTACCTGTTCAGATCTAACACCAATTAATCAAATAAATTTATTCAATACGTCATGTGAGTTTTCTTGTTCTGGTGACAATCAAATTGACAATTTAGCAAAATTGAACTTGCCCATATGGACACATTTTTTTCATAATCAAAAATGCATTTGAACTGACATATAAGAATAATAAATATGATAAGATGCATTTTTACAATTCTAATTTTACAACTTTTTCGATCTTTTATCTCCTATTTCACTTGTTTACAGAAACAAAAAACAAAGAAAAATATATTGTTTAGAATTCTTTCCACATCTAAGAAATCAAAAAAGTAATTATCCTAAAAGTGGATGATTAGCAGTACCTGAGAGGAGGCAGTGTTTCATCCTGACCGGCAGGGGGCGCTCTCTGCACATCTCAACCACTTCGCCCTTAGTGAGACTTCAGACTTCTCTTCCGGGTTCAAGCTAACGCGCAGAACTGATGAAAATGGATCTATGAAGTAATAATTAACGCACAAAACCGACTTTCTCTGTAAAAGAGAGAAATTGTGCTGGTATTTGTGCAACTATAAATCCTGTTTCAGGTCGTTTCTGTAACCATTGAAGCCTCTGGTGGTAACTCAGTGTTTCGGTGAACATGTCTGCGGAGGAAGCGGATAAAACCACGACCACTGATGCCAGCGCCGGCGATGAGGAGGAGGAATGGTTGTATGGAGGTAAATAAAAAGCCCACAAGCAAGTAAATGCAGCTTGTTTTCCCCGAAAGAGACGGATATAAAGTTGTTGGTTACTCTGCTAAATAAGCACTAACTAATATATAACTATGTACTTCAATTAGCTGCGAAGCTAACTAGCATCAGCGCCTGGTTCTTGGCCTTGTTTAGCAAGAGCTTTAGACCTAAGTGACAAAACTGCATAATGACAAATACTTCTGTATGTAACCAAGAGTTAAATTTTGCCGCTCACCAAATATGCTCAACAACTTTTCAAAAATGGTTTTTAAAAAAGGTTTTGTGTTACAGATGAATCAGAAAGTAAAGAAGAGGATGAAGAAGCCAAATTGAATGCTGCTGTCGGGTAAAACACACACACGCACGCACGCACGCACACACACACACACACACAATTTGTGAAATATTATATTTTAACCTTTTAACTCTCCACACATTACCATTTTGGTCTAATTTATCAAATTTAAATACTTCATCAAGTTAAATACATAGGGCACTGTGAACAGTTTTATTTTAGTTTTAGTTATAGTTTATTATTAATAAAATTTTTCATTATTTTTTTCTATTTGTAACCTGCCTTCCTCTTTCCTTAACATTAATGTCGATTTTTTTTCCTGTTTGCCTTTTGGTAAATGCAAGAAATGAAACAATAATTTTAATTGTCTTTGTGTCCAACAGTACACCTGCTAACATATCAACAGATGAGGCGACTGTTGAAGCTGCACAGACCACAGGGAATGGAGTGGCCTCTGAGGTAAGTCATCATTTTAATCATATTTACCTCTTTGTCGCTTTTTGTTTTCAGTCCATCTCCCAAACTGTCAGCACTGGTGGTTTCATGTGTCTCGCCCCCCCTCCCCAGGCCACAGGTGAAGCTGCAGGTGAGGATGGGGACAGCGACAGCGACAGTGATGATGACGACGACGATGTCCGTGTTACCATTGGCGACATCAAAACTGGAGCGCCTCAATACACGTAGGTGTTTGTAAAACTGTGGCTGTGTTCTACACGATCTGTGCAGGTATTATTTTTATGTTTTCCATAAGCTACACAGTGAGGTGTGTGTTGATGTAAGGTGATTACAAAAGCAGGTTGAGATAGATTTTGTTTTCTGTTTTCAAGTCACAGCTGTGGCTCAGTTGGTACATTTATCACTGTACTTTGAAAACGTTTGTTTTTAACTTTTGCTTTTGTTTTCCGCCATCATCAAACAGACAAAACTGATTTTATTCTTTTTATTCTAGGACATATGGAGCCCCACCTGTTAACCTCAACATAAAATCAACTAGCTCCAGGCCATACGGACAAGGTGACGACCAATTTCTTAGACCTTTGATGAAAATTGAAATTCTTCCTCGTTGTGAAAGTTACCCACTAACATGCTGCATCCTTTAATTTCAGTGACAAAGCTGAAGGGAGTGGATCTGGAGGCTCCAGGAAGCATAAATGGCGTTCCTGTTCTGGAGGTGGACATGGAGTCCTTTGAAGAGAAACCTTGGAGAAAGCCAGGTCTGCTCCGTGTCTGTGTAGCTGTTATCTGTTATCAAATATTAAAATAATCAAGTACTTTACTGTACAGTGAGTATTCAGGAGCATATGCACCATGTCTGTGATTACCAAAGTTTTTCCAGTCAGTTTGGTAAAAATAATCAGAGTTGAATGTTTTTATTTTATAGTTTGCTGTGCAGTATAAAGTAAACGCTTTCACAAAAACGATTGTAGCGTTCTCTCTGTTATGTTGTTTTATTTTAGCTTTTCATGTAAAAATATGCCTGGCTGGCAAAAACAGCCTCATTACAGAAAGTGTGTGTGTTTGTTTCTGTGTATAGGTGCGGATCTGTCGGATTATTTCAACTATGGCTTTAACGAGGACTCATGGAAAGCTTATTGTGAGAAGCAGAAGAGGCTGCGAATGGGTCTGGAGATCTCTACAGTTGGCTCAGTGACCAGCAAGATCACAGTATGAGACCACTGACGACTTGTATTTCATTTTCCTTTCATTAACTTTGCATTCCATGTTTTTTTTTCAAACATGCTTGTAAATCCAAATATATATTTTTAAAACTGCATTTGTTGTTAAATTCACTATAACGGATTTCATTGTGACTCCTCCTTTTAGGTGCAGCAGGGCAGGACGGGGAATGAAAAGGACACGTCCAGTTTGTCCCTTCATTCGTCCAAGCCAGACTTCCCCTCCCCTGTCAGCCTCTACAAGTCAACACTCAATCAGGTCAACAGGTAACTCTCCTGCTTCTACCTTTTTCTTACCTGTTGATAAAACACGCACTTGTGTGTGTGTGTGTGTGTGTGTGTAATATGAAGCATTAGTGATGAAAAAATTATTTGTGAAATTTGTAGGTGGAAGGTTAGGATCTGATGGTTTATTTTTATTTTTTATTTTATTTTATTTTTTGCGTGTTTTTATAATGATACAATGCAACTATATTTTTTTTATCTGAAAAAAATTACTGCTTATGTTGTGGATTATTAAAATGAAAATTACCAACATTTAATGACTTGGCAAATTCAAACAGAAATATGGCAAAAAAAATATTTCAGCTCAAAGAACCATCTGTTTTTAAGGTGTTTACAAATCTATAAGTCATGTAGAAATAATCACAATTAAATACTGTATGATACAATAGTAAATAAAGAGTCCTTTTTAAAATCAAAGAGCTTCAAATAGGAACTAAAATCTCCTTTTATTTCATAATTGTTACATTAAATGTCTTCTGTTTGACTCACTGAAGATGATGGGTCTGCTGATGGTTTCTTGTCACAGGAACGGACAGACGTCTGATAGGTGAACTTGTTTGTTATGGATAACTAACTCAGTGCGTTCATGTCTGTTTACAACCTTCTTCCTTCAGGAAACCGATTGGAACCATAGATGTGATCGGTGCGCAGACGACCACAATCAGCAGGGTAGAGGGGCGACGCCGACACAATCTGGAGGGCAACAATATCCAGGTAGAAGAAGCAACAGTCGGGTTTTTTACTTTGTTCACCTGAAAGGGTGTGGTTTCATCACCACCTGCTGTGTGTGGTTTTCCCAGGTGATTTCTGAGCACTCGACAACAGACCCTGAACCAGCTCCAGCTAAGATTCCAACCTTCTTCACTCCTGGGCCAATTCCTCCAAACATCCCCCCGCCTCCATTTCTGCCCCCACCACCAAACGTCAGCACCGCACCTCTCATACCTCCACCGAGTAAGATCTGTTTTTATTTTCTCATTCTCTTCTTTTATTGTTCTGCATGTTTATAACTGTCTTGTTTTTCTTCCCAGGGTTGCCTATCACTGTCCCTCCTCCTGGTTTTCCTCCACCAACAAGTGGCCCCCCTCCTTCTTTAATCCCCACTATGGACAGGTAATGCACCTTTAGACACCTGTACACAATAAACCTTCAGACAGGACCACTTCAGGTTCAACATCATTACATGAAACATTTGTGATTATAAAGCAAAGTCACAACTCAAAGTGTAAAAACAACAAATAACTGCATTCTGTTATCATTTAGAATTTTGTTGTTTAAAATGTTTCTATAAAACATTTCATTTTTGTTTAATGGAGCACTTGTAGTGTTTTACACTTTAAGTCCCCGGTGCTTTGCGAATATAACTGCAGCAGTTGCGTGTTTGCCTCTGAGCATCAACATGTCAGTGACCCTCCTTTTTATTTTATTTTTTTACTGAGACTCCCACGTCTCATGAAAACAGACAGATTCTAACATAAAAATGCTGTTGATGCACTGAAACAAAGAAGAAAAACCTGCAAGCATATCATCTGAAAACATTTTATTTCTGATTAAATTGAATTACGGAGCAGTTTTAAATTACCAGTGCAAATAATTCAGATTTAAATTGAAGTTCCCTTTTCTATATCCTAAGATTTGAGCTGTTTATCTTAACTGGGGTTAACACTGGTTGTCAGCCACAGTAGCACTCCTTGCTGTTGGGACTTGTAGTTAAATCCAAACTGGTTCATCACTGTTTAATATCTCTCACATGGAGTTTTTCCTGTCTTTTACTACAGCCATGCCGGAGGCTACGATGGCCGCTCTGTCCCTCCGTTTGCATTTCCCCAAGGTACAAAGATCTACAGCGCCGTGTCCTCCTCTTAACATCAGAATTGTTACAAGTTTATGAATAAAAGATGAGATGTGTCTGAATGCATTTACCAGTAAACTCTCCTCCTCTCTGTTTCCAGGTGCTTATCCTCCACCCATGCCTGGAGGTGTTCCTCCTTGGCCCCCCATGGTGGACAACACCAAGCCCTGGGACTTCTATCCTCGTCGAGATGACAAGAGGGACAAGGAAAGAGAGAGACCCCGAGAGAGGACACATGAGCGAGAGCGGGAGAGAGAGCACAGCCCTTCAGCTATGAGCTACAACAGGTCAGAAACACAATTACTCTCATGTTTCTGTGTCCCAACACACCAAAGTGATGCTCTAAATGGGTTGTAGTGCTGATCCTGACAGAATGGAACATTGTGGTGTAAACTAAATACATCTATAAAGTCTGAAATGCTGCTCAAAATAAACTAAACATTACAAATGGAAATGTTTTATTGAAAAAGTTTTTTTACAAAACAAAACAACTAAACATCTTTTCTGTTGTTGAAAACATTGCTCAATTCAGAGCCCTCAGTTTTCAATAAAATAATTAAAGTCCAGTTTCTTTGTTTTTAAAAAGGTTTTAGATTTGCCAGTTCCTGGCTGGCTGAGAATCCACACCAGCATGTTGGAGTATCCTCATTTTTAATGCGTTTGTTTAGTCTGTATGCAGATATAACAAAAAAAAAAAAAATCTTGTTCTGTCTGCTGCCTTAGTGATGAGGAGCGCTACCGTTACCGTGAGTACTCGGAGCGCAATTACGTGGAGCGCCACCGCGACCGGTCCAGCCGAGAGAAAGAGGAGCGGCACAGAGAGAGGCGGCACAGAGAAAAGGAGGAGGGACGCCACAAGTCCTCCCGCAGGTAACACTTAATAATGTTTTTTTTTTTTCTTTTTTGTTGTTTTGGTTTTGTCTTTGCACAGCAATCACTGGTTGTTTACTTTCCCTGGCCCATAACAAACACAAAAATGTCCTGTACTTCCTAATTACATAGAAATTTTATTTAGTGTTTAAGCTGCTAAGGCAGAAACCGTTTACTAAAAGTAAAAGTGCTGAAATTGGTTTTTCTTTTTCTCAACCACTTCTCCCCTTTAATATCTCTCTTCTACTCTTCTTCCTCAAATCTCCATCCACCAATCTCTCTGTCATTCTTCGTCCTCTTTTTTTCTGTTTCATATTGATCTTTCATTTATTTTTATCTGTCTCCTTTAACATTCTTCCTCTTCTTTCTCGCCGTCTCTCTCATCGTCTGCTCTTTACCCTCCTGCTGATCTTGAATCACTTCTTGTCTCCTCTCTGCCTTTTTTATTTACACTCTGCTTCTTTTTGTTTTTGTCATTCTTTAGTAGCAGTAGTCGGAGGAGGCACGACAGCGAGGAGGGGGACAGCCACCGGAGGCACAAACACAAGAAGAGTAAGCGGAGCAAGGAGGGCAAAGAGGCCAGTGATGATCTCGGTGCTGACCAGGAGAACCAGGAGGCCATGGAGTAGGGAGGAGCACCTCCCGTCTTTTCCACTCTCTGTTTATACTTAGTTTTGACCAAATAGGAAGATATCAAGAAAATTAGAAAGTCACTGAGCGATTGTGTCGTTGTGCTCCCCATCAGCCTGAATTCATCCTCAGCATCTCTTCAGAACAAACCAAGAGGGATGTGTTCATCCTCCTCGTCCGTCTTTCCATCAGTGTCTTCAGCTCCCTCCATCGTCTGCTCATCGCTCCAACTCTTAGCTGATCACTTTGAACCATCAGCCGATTACTCTGTTTTTGTTTTTTCGTTTGATAGATGTAACTTTGTTCTTGTTTCGTATGAAGACACCTAAGTTCAATTAAAAAAAACACTTTTGATAAGTCGTCTTTGAGTCACTTTATTCAGTAGAATACTCTAAAGCAGGGCTGTTGAACTAAATTACTGCAGATAAACAGCTCAGGGGCCGAACATCCAGCAATTAAATTTATTTTGTAAATAAACTAAGTATTACAAAGATCTGTTACCTTTGACATAGTTTATTTTTCTGCATTTAATCATGAATACAACATACAGAACCTTATGTAATAAAAGTTGATAATTAAACAATATCAAAAACAACACTATACCTTCTATTTGACATATTTTGACATCTCTGACTTGCCAAATTTTTGAATCAATTTTATTTTCACTTTCATAGTTTTATCTTGAACAGCTTATAGTTTTAACTGTCTTGGGTGTTCATTGAAATGGTTTTTATCAGCTTCTAGCCAAGACTCTGACTTAATTAAAACAACTTGAGTAATTAAAGTAGAAAACCAGGGGTTTGGGCTTAAGAGATGAATGAACCAATTGGCGGGCCGAACTTTAGTCACTCGCAGGCCAGATGTTTTATAGCCCTGCTCTAAACTTTCACATGTGTGTTAGAAGTTTTAAGAAAGCATTTTTTAAAGGAATGACCATCACCCAGCACCTCTCATGCCTGAGTTTTGATCATCTTATGAAGAGAAACAATGGAGTTTTTGCTGTTCTGGTCAAATCCCGACAATAAATTCCTAACTGCATCTGTTCAGGTTAGCTGTGTTGTAAGGTGGGTTGTATTTCTGGTGGATTCAGGCAGCAGAGCAGAGCTGCAGTTAGCAGCAGCAAGAAACAAAGATCAGCTCAGCTGGGATTTCCTAACTGCACAACAAAATAATTTTACTGGAAGGATTTCACCTCATGATCACAGTGTTTGTGAAGCCTTACAGAGGTGATTGTTGCCTGAGGGCACCATGGTTCCTCCACTGAAACCATCTACAAAATTAAAATCCTGCTTCCCAATTACATTTAAAAGAGCAGCTCCAAAAAAATCTTTTTTTTCCACATAAGCTCAATAATTATATTGACAAGTCAGGAGTGAATAAAAGCAAATAAGACAAAATATTGGCATAAACATGTACATAACAGCCTCTTTAAAGCTGTTCATTTTGTAATGGAACTAATACTTTTATGTTTAAGCAAGTAATTCATGACAACCTTTAATGACCTAGGTTTTCATGACATGCTGTTCATCTGCAGATAGAATGATTAAAGTCAGAACAAGATTTACTAACCACAGTCATTCTTTGATATCACTTGTGTTTATCTTTGTGTTTTCCATTGACCTTGTATCAAATCTTGCTAAGATGATGTAATGGTGTTTGTTAATATATATATGAGGCCTCTGAAGACACAGTAAGTGGTGTGGAGAGGCAGTGACAGAGAGAAGCAGAGGCACAGAGACAGGCCAGGTTGTTCTCTGTGTTTCCTGTTGTTGCAATAAAACTCAGCTGATCATCCCACGGAGTACCTTCAGGTCTGATGGACCACGTATTTTCTGTCTTTGTTAAATAAATATTGCCGTAACAATTTCATTTGAGTCGATCAATAATCCTAAATCAGACCAAAGTCCATTATTTCACTGTTTGCTGTTTGCTCTGCTTACGTCAGCTCAGACTCATATATAATGCATCCAGAAGGGACTCAGTAGAGGTGAAGAAAGATACAGTGAAGCGTGGGAAGAAAAAACCTGTAGTGAAGACGTACGCAAACAAAGTAAGAAAAAGAAGAATTAAAGTGCTGAAGAAGATGAAGTGTGTTGCTGTTGTGTTGCTGAGTCTTCTGTCGGTGGGACGCTCGGCTCCTCTGAGCAGCTGTGATGCTCTGCTCAAACCAATAGATGTCAGCAAGGAAGAAGTAAGTTGGTATCTGATTATAAAATCACTTTTTTAAATATGTCAGACAAAACAAAATCTCTGAAATTTTAAAAAAGGGAAGAAGACTCAGGTTATACTGTACCTAAGGTCTGGACCTCGTGGGGGTCTCCTAAAATGATTTATCAGCCAATGGGTATTTTGGTCTAGTTGACACAAGATATAAACAGCTGTTACAAATGAATAAATATAGTTGTTTAAGTTGTCATCACCTCTTTTTTATGTAGATTTATTTAGACTGTTTGACAAACTTAACCACTGGTGGTCAGAAATCTTTACTGCTGTTATTTTATGGGTCCAAAGCTGAAAACTTTGATCAAAGCTGTTTTTTATAATTATTTTAGGGGTGAATATTGACCCCCACCCGCTCAGTGTGTATCTGGGTAGTGTTTGAAGTAGTGTTGCGAATAACTCACCTACCATTGCATCAACTTTCAGGTCATTATTTGTTGAACTGACTGAGTTATAACCTCTTTTTTTTTTCAAGCCAGTCATTTGTTTCATAAGATATTTTGCTAACAAACAAATACAGCGGGTAAAATAAGTATTGAACACGTCACCATTTTTCTCAGTAAATATATTACTAGAGGTGCTAATGACATGAAATTTTCACCAGATGTCGGTAACAACCCAAGTGATCCATACATACAAAGAAATCAAACCATAAATGTCCAGAAATGAAGTTATTTGTAATAATGTGGAATGGCACAGGGAAAAAATATTGAACACACTTACTGAAATTTATCTAATACTTTGTACAAAAGCCTTTGTTGTCAATGACAGCTTCAAGACGCCTCCTGTATGGAGAAACTAGTGGCATGCATTGCTCAGGTGTGATTTTGGCCCATTCTTCCACACAAACAGTCTTCAAATCTTGAAGGTTTCGTGGACCTCTTCTACGAACTCTGATCTTTAGTTCTTTCCATAGATTTTCTGTTAGATTCAGGTCAGGTGATTGGCTGGGCCATTCCAGCAGCTTTAGTTTCTTTCTCTGAAACCAACTGAGAGTTTCCTTGGCTTTGTGTTTGGGCTCATTGTCTTGCTGAAATGTCCAGCCACGTTTCATCTTCATCATCCTGGTAGATGGAAGCAGATTTTTATCAAGAATGTCTCTGTACATTTTTCCACTCATCCTTCCTTCAATTATTTGAAGTTTGCCAGTACCATATGCTGAAAAACAGCCCCACACCATGATGTTCCCACCTCCAAACTTCACTGTTGGTATGGTGTTTTTGGGCTGATGTGCAGTGCCATTTGACCTCCAAACATGATGTGTATTCTGGCATCCAAACAGTTCAATGTTGGTCTCATCTGACCAGACTATATTCTCCCAGTATTACACAGGCTTGTTTAAATGTTGTGCAGCAAACTTTAAAGGAGCTTCAACATGCTGTTTCTTCAGCAGTGGAGTCTTGCGTGGTGAGCGTGCATACAGGCCATGGTGGTTCAGTGCATTACTTATTGTTTTCTTTGAAACAAACGTACCTGCTAATTCCAGGTCTTTCTGAAGCTCTCCACAAGTGGTCCTTGGCTCTTGGACAACTCTTCTGATAATTCTTTTCACTCCTCTGTCAGAAATCTTGCGAGGAGCACCTGGTCGTGGTCGGTTTATGGTGAAATAATGTTCTTTCCACTTCTGAATTATGGCCCCAACAGTGCTCACTGGAACCTTCAGAAGTTTAGACACTCTTCTGTAACCGATGCCATCATTATGCTTTGCAACAATAAGGTTGTGAAGGTCTTGAGAGAGCTCTTTACTTTTACCCATCATCAGATGTTTCTTGTGTGATACCTGGTCATCATTTGGGACTGAACCAGCTGATATTAACTTGCACTGAGAAGGGGCAGGCTTGCTTTCTAATTACTGAGAGAGTTCAGCTGGTGTCTTGCCTTTCCATGCCTTTTTACACCTCCCTTTCTTCATGTGTTCAATACTTTTTCCCTGTGCCATTCCACATTATTACAAATAACTTCATTTCTGGACATTTATGGTTTGATTTCTTTGTATGTATGGATCACTTGGGTTGTTACCAACATCTGGTGAAAATTTCATGTCATTAGCACCTCTAGTAATATATTTACTGAGAAAAATGGTGACGTGTTCAATACTTATTTTACCCGCTGTAAACACACTCACACATAGAGAAATGTAGGCTACACAATTGCCAACCTTTTCCTGATTCTGAAGTCATGAGACAATCCCACACATAGTCTATGTTTATGTTCTAGCTGTTGGGTAAAGGGATCCTCATCGGGAAGAGCTCCGACGCCCCGGGAAGCCGCTCCCTGCACAACATGTTTTCCAGCGTCTGGTTTAACACCACTGCCACCTCCCAGAGCAACGTCATCCACGTCGTCCAAACTCAGAAATTGTAAATATGCTCACAGCACAACACTGACTGCTGCGTGTTTGAGCTACTGGAAACAAAACATTCCCAGACCAGATGTATCTCACCATTTTCTACTTTAGTTTTGTTCATATCGATTGTGTTATTTCAGCTATTATAATCAGGTTTAAAACAACAAGAAGAAGGAAGGGAAAAACAGAGCAGTTACATAAATATACAGTATATAATGCAAAGTGAGCAACAATATACAACTCCTGGCAAAAACTATGGAATCACCAGTCTTGGATGAGCACTATTTCAGACATTTCATTCTGTAAAACAAACTCATGATACAATAATAAGGTCATTCCAAAGTGCAACTTGTTGGCTTTCAGGAACACTCAAAGAAATGAAGAGAAAACATTGTGGAAGTCAGTGAACGTTACTTTTATTGACCAAGCACAGGGAAAAAAAATATGGAATCACTCAATCCTGAGGAAAAATTGTATGGAATCATGAAAAACAGATAAACAAAAGACCATTCAAAATTCATAACTAGTATTTATTTGCACCACCTTTGGCTTTTATAACGGCTTACAGTCTCTGAGGCATGGACTTGATGAGTGACAAACAGTATTGTTCATCAATTTGGTGCCAACTCTCTCCTCAGAACCCCGCTGATGGTCCCAGTGTCATCCAGTCTATGTTGGAGGACAAGAAGGGAATGAAGTTTGCAAGATTTCTGGATGGCATTTTTGACCGCTATGTAAACTGATTTTTGACTTAAGAGAAGAAAGTTTTAATTAAAGTTCAAATTCAAAT